GCCGAGGGCCACGGGGACATTTACCCCATCATCCACGGGCCACACAACATGATCAACGTAAAAACTACCTGCTGTATTTGGTCAAACGTTTCATTAACTCACCCCTCAGGCCTTGGCAGGGCCAGACCACATGATTTCGCGGGGCTTACACGGCCCACGGGCCGGACGTTCCCCATCCCTGCTGCGTGACCATCACACTTAACCACTCAAGGAGCTCGGAGAGGCACGAAAAGCAAAGCAACTTGTCCAAGTTCAGACGCGACCAAGCCTCAGAGCCTGGGCACCCGTCAAGGTAGCAGCGGGGGGCGTACCTGGGCCTGCCTGAGCGCAGGGGTGGCCGGCAGGGGTCTGGCGGCGGTCCAGGGCCTGCAGGGGCCTGCTGATGGCAATGTTCTGACACTGCGGCGGCCTCTTGGGGTTGTCCTGCGGGGACAGAGCAGCAGCCATGATACACGGGTCTCAGGAGTGGATGTGATTCCCGCCCTGGCCTGGGGCTCGGGCCAGAGCGTCGGCCCCTACACCCAGGGTCTCGGGTTTCATTCCTGGACAAGGGCACATACCTGGTTGCAGGTTCGATCCCTGGGCCCCAGTCAGGGGTGGGTATGGGAGGCAACCAATCAATGTGTCTCTCTCACATTGATCTCTCCCCTCCCTCCCTCCCTCCCTCCCTTCCTCCCTTCCACTTTCTTAAAAAATCAATGGAAAAAATACCCTTGGATGAGGATTAACAAAAAAAGTGTGTGATTCCTTAAGGAAAAAGCAGCGCCTGCAAGTCTGCCATTGCCACAGGGGAGGAGGGTGGGGTAAGGGACAGAAATCAAGGAGGTCCTGAGAGGGCGTCTGAGATTATTGATTTACCCCCCCCCCCCCCCCAAGAGGGTCCCTTTCGGGGTGGATTTTAAAGGGCTGGTTTGATTAACAAACAGCTTTGAGACACCCGACGAAGTGCCAGCATGAAGGCCTGGGTCAGACCCGAGGGCACAGAAGGAGCCGTGAAAATAAGTCACAGCTCAGTGCTTGAGGCGGCGAGAACTCAGGACATGTGCTGGGCGGCGGCGTGGAGGTGTCCGGAGGCTGGGGCTGAGGTCAGGGCCCCCCTCCCTCGCTGGAGGACAGAGCTCTGAGTGGTGCCCAGTCTCAGCGACCGATGAAGACAGAAGGACAGACGCAGCTCCAGTCTGTGCCTCGGCCCCCTGCCCGCTCTCCCTCCCTCTTCTCTTCCTTTCTTTCTACAAACAGCTTTCCCGAGGTACACTTGACACGTGATTAATTGCATATATTTAAAACGTGCAATTTGGTAAAAATTGACATATGTCCACACTCATGCAACCATCACAGAAGCGAGATAATGAACACATCCATCACCCAAGAGACTCCCCTCTCCTCCCCCCCTCCCTCCCGCCTGTAACCGGGACCTGCTTTCTGTCACTGTGAGTGAGTCCGCGTTTTCTAGACTTTCCTACAAATGGCACCACGAGCCACACTCTGTCTGGCCTGGCTTCTTTCCCTCGGCCTCACTATCTCGAGGGCCATCACGCTGTGTGTGTCAGTGGTTCCTCCTCCTCACCGCCGAGCCCAAGTCCCCGTGTGCACACACCATAGCTGCTCCCGTCCCCTGGCCCCCAGGGCCTTGTAGAGCTTCCGTGGGCACAGCAAGCCCCTCCAGCCCCTGCCACCACCTCAGGGGCCTTTGCTGAACTGAGTGCTGGCTCAGCATTGCACAGGGGACCCCAGGGCCTCAGAGCCGCACCCTCACCTTCACTGGGGACCCAGGGCCTCAGAGCTTCACCCTCACCTGCACAGGGGACCCAGGGCCTCAGAGCTTCACCCTCACCTGCACTGGGGACCCAGGGCCTCAGAGCCTCACCCTCACCTGCACCAGGGACCCCAGGGCCTCAGAGCCTCACCCTCACCTGCACCGGGGATCCAGGGCCTCAGAGCCACGCCCTCCCTGTGCACCACTCACCGTGGCTGAGCTGGACGGCGCTGGCTTCCTCATCACACCTTGGCTGAGGGGCGCAAGGG